TTTTCAACATGTATCTTTGTCTCTTTTTCAAGTTTTGATTTTTCAACCCATTGTTTTTTTGGTTTTTGTCTTTGAAAAATATACGAATTCTTTGTTAAGGTGTTTTCAACGATGTTTTGATTTGCGAAAAAACCTTCCTCAGTTGTTTTTGAGTTATCTTCCTCAACCATCTTCTTTAACTCTGGTTTGATATTCTCAACATTGCCTGTAGTTACGAAGACTTGATTTCGAAAAATGACATCATTTGTGCACTTGAAATTTGGAAAGACCACCGTGTTTGTTTCAAGACAATGTGGACCTTTTTCATTCATCACTTCTTCGAACTTTTGTGTATCACCATACACTTGATCAACTACGATTCGTGGAATTTCTTCTTCCTTTGAGAATACCTTTTCTTTCGAAACTTTCTCAACATCTTCATCATTACTATCATCAGTTTGATAATCTTTGAGGTCCACGAAGTTCATTTTACCAACTTTCGAAGTTGAGGGTATATCAGTTTCATTCTCAACTATCAAAATCCTTAACTCTTTCTTTCCCTTTAGAATTCGAAGCAACATTAACAACAGTTAACTGAGAACAATCAACATCTTCAAGCTTACTAATTTCACTAATATTGTCAGAATCATCTTCAATATCAGCAAAATTAGATTGAGAATCAGATGTTGAATTCTCAGTCTTTTTCAAAATGTGAATTTGTTCATATTTAGTCAAAGTATCATTTACAATGTTAACTAAATCATTCGAATCAATACATTCATCGACTTTGACAATTCCATATCTATACTTGTTATTTGGAACCTTGTCAAAATCAGCTATCTCTTTTTCACAATCATACGAAATATTATCTACCTTAGCTCTTTTAAAAGCTAAAAATGGCAACAATTTCCTATGTTGTTCTTTACTGATTTCACACGAATGATGAAGTTTAGTTAATTTTCCATATAATCTCTTAGCAGCATTACAGTAGATATTTCTTTATGCTAATAACAATTTGTTATCTCTTGATAAATTATCCCTATCTACCATGATATTCGTTATTTGGAGTTGTAGACAATCTATTCTAGATATTTTCGAATCTAAATTCTTCTTGGTCTCTAGCAATTGCATTGACAACTTCTTAGCCTCATTGCTAGAAGATACCACAATTGAATCAAAATAAGTAACAGATTCATCAAAAGATACTAATTCAGAATTATAAGCATCTACTGGAATATTAAAAGATTCAAGAATGTTTCGTACCTTTGATGTCATTGGTGATTTGTCAGCAGCCTTTGATACGAAGCATTTTCCACACACTTCGTATATTTCCTCCTCTGAATCCTCCTCTATCTTTTGCAAACATGGCTCCACGGGTTGGATTGCGCATTTCTTCATCATCTGATCCAGATGACCAGATTTGATATGTACCATCTTCCTCCTCATCAGTGCCCTTTGCAACTAGAGACAAATTCTTAGCTTTCGTACGAACCTCCTCTAACTTTTCAGCATAGTATGCCTCATCTTTCACCTTCATCTTCCTCTCGTCTTTCTTTCGAAGCATACAATCATTTGCAAGATGATTCGCACCATTACAATAATGACAGTCAATCCCAGTATCTCCTTTCAGCTTCTTCTCACTCTTTCCCTCAACAGCCTTCGAATCTATCTTCTCCTCCTTCTTCTTCTCTTCCCCAACATTTTTACTCAGAAAGTTCCCTTTTATTTCAGACGACTTTGCCTTCGAGTTGAAAGGCTTTTTAAAGAACTTTTTCACCTGATTGTTTGAGTAAAAGGTAATTGCTTCATCATCAGAGTTCATGATGAACCCTTCATCTTCATCCGAAGCATCTTTCTCAGAAATCTTTGACATCAAAGCTAGTGGACCTCCCAACATAGCCTTCGATTCTTCAGTTATTTCATTCACTTCTCATTCATTAGTTTTAAGCTGGTTGTACAAGTCATTCAATGTAGATGTGTCATAGCTCTGTTGGTTCTTCACCATCATGCTCACGCTCCGCTATTCCTTTCGAAGTTCCATGAAAAATATCAAATTAAATTCCATTGCAGATCTGGTGATCCCATATCGATTGCATCGATATATCAACTCATTCAGACGATCGTAATATACTTTAATTGATTCACCATCTTTCTGTCTGAAATCGTTCAGCTCAACTAAGCATTGTTTGACAGAATTAAGCTTCGTCTTCTCACTTCCCTGGAACTTTTCCTTGAGATTGTTCCATATTTGTTTTGCAGTTTCTACAGCTCCTTACATAGTTGTAAACAACTGGAGGCAAAGCTCCTCTTATTTCTCTCATACATCTTTTCTCCAGCTTTTTCAGACGATCAACTTGATTTTCAACTTCAGAGTTTCCAGAGGAAGAACCAAGTGGTTGAACATTTGATGGTGGATTGCGATTCCCAGAAATACAATTCCACAGATCTTCATCCAATCCATTAAGATAATCCTACATACGATTAGCCCACTGATCGTAATACTCAGGGATGAGCATAGGAATTTTGGTGGAAGATCCTAGCACTACTAGAAAAACAGCCTTTTACGACGCTCATTTCGTGTCGTAAAACGCTCAGACGACGCGCAAATGCGTGTCAAAGAAGGCCCTATCATAACGAGATACGACGCACTTTTGCGCGTCCTCTAGAGACGACGCACATTTATGACACGCAATGCGTATGAATAAAGTCGCTGTCAAGAAAGGCCATGTCATAAATGAAGATGACATACATTTTTGCGTATCGTAATTTTTAGTTTTTTATTAAAAAAAATTATTTATAGATCTACTAATTTTCAAATTAAATTTGCATTTCATGTCTCATAATAGAAAATAAAATAACATTTACAAAAAATACAATCCATTGCACAAAAGTTAATGTCATACAAAATACAAAATAAAATACAATAAATAAGAAAGATAAATCATTGCACTAACATGTCAAATACAAATAATCATCCCTAACTATATAACATAATACTACATTGCTATTAAGGGACATCATCATAACTCACTGAAGGTCTTCGAACAATGTTCTCGTCATCAACTCTTATACCAACCTTGCTTTACTAGATGGTCTTGTAGCTACATTGCAATTTAGCCATTTCCAACTGCAATGTTTTATAAATTATTATTATTTTAGATTTATTTATCTAAGACCAAAAATAAATATTTTGAAAATGACACATACTAGTCCAGTAGACATTGCTAATTCACTCAACTGCTTCCATTTCAACTCACTTTGTGCTACTAGTACGATATCCTATATACACAAACAAATGTTATTATTAATTATAATTCATAAAGTCAAGTATTGGAATATCTTTTCCTTACCTTCACAATCTCTAGTTTACCAAGCTGCATAGCTAGTTCAAATCTATAATCAGGACATGTAGTAACTGCTAAAGCTTCATCAATCATTCCACGTGACTCCAATAAATGAGCAACACCATCGAGAAAAGAAATATTAATATATTAAATTTCTTTGGTTTATCTCAATCAAAGTACAATGATACAAAGTAAGTTGCCTTTATCATATTATTATTGATCTTTGATATTTTGACAAGATTGAGAGAAAAAGAGACTTGCACTACATTAAGGGGGACATCCCCTAAAGAAATAGTTGCCACAACATTAATCACAAGGGCAACCACATTTACAGTGAGTTGGAACTGAATAAATTTTTGTATGTTTGCATGCCGAAGAAACACATTAATCTTAAATAATAATAATAATAATAATAATAATAATAATAATAATAATAATAATAATAATAATAACAATAATAATAATACTTTTGAAGCATTTTATATACCAACATAAAGACCAGAAACAGAAGATATCAGACCTTTACAATGGAAGCGAAATTGTCTTCCAAGATTACGATATCACTACTTTCTTTTGCAACTTCAGTTCGTTGGATGCCCATAGCAAGACTAATATCATCCTACAATTTCAATTTCAAAAAATAAAAATCATAAAAATACAGCAAAAATAATTAAATTAATCATGAAAGAGCTTTAATTATTACCTCATGTAGAGCAGGGGCATCGCTTGTTCCATCTCTAGTGCAGCTAAGTGAACAACAGCAAGAATTCATCTGTTCTGCTACTATGCTATTCAGACTCGTTTATTCAAGAAAAGGAAATCAAAAGATTTGAATTTTAAAAATATAAAGATAGGGTTTTTGATTGATTGTGCAAGATTTAGGAGGAGAGGAAAAAAGATACAAAAATAGATTATATTGTGTTCATAGAGATGTGTGGTGTGAAAGATATATAAACAGTACTCTCCATAAGTGCTATGATCAGAACTCATACAAGTTTACACACAATTCTCCATAAGTGTTACGATCATTTTTCATCGGAAAAATGGCCACCAATAAGATTATGTAAATTTTCCTACAAGGAAGAAGTACAACAACTCGTACAACTAAGGCACCAGTGGCTCCAAGGGTAGAAGGGTCATATGCAATAATAGCATAATTATGAACAGGGTGAAGACAGACCAGCTAAAAAATTAGATAATAACCTTAATTAAGAGATTAAGATTTAAGAATTAAGATTAATAGTTAGAAGTTAAAAGTTAATTTCTCTGTTTCATAATTATACCTCTCATGGGATTTTCAACTTTTCTTGTGATTCCTGAAATTTCTGCAGTTCAAGCTCAAGTCTAAAGTTGTCTTTTCTTGTGATTCTTGACACTTCTACCCCTGTATGATCTTCTACATTGTCTTCATCAATTACTGATTGTTCTGATGCCTCGAGACTTTATCTCCAATTTCTGTATTTCTATTTGTTTGTCCAGTTCCTGGAGGATAGAAACTAGCTCAAGATTTGATTCTTGAGTTTTATTCGATTGTATACTCAAATTATTATTCAAATCTTTCTGAAATTTTATTTCTTCTTCAAGCTCTGCTTGGATACCATTTTTATCGTGAACCTGGGATTTTAGATTAGATCCATAGATCAGGTTTTTTTATTCTAGATAGATAAAGCGTGATAACTACCAAGCCGCTTCTTCACCAGGACGATCTTTTCTAAGACCACACCTCTTCTGAAGAGAAACAGATTGACTGGTCAAACATAAAAGTAGGATGCTATGATTATAATCAACAAGTATAATTACACCTTGTTATCAAATTTTAGTGGGAAGCCACTGTTTGAGTTGGTCATACTATCTGGTACTGACTCCAGAAATCTCATATTGTAAATTGCCTTCATATCTTCAGGAAGCAAATCTGCTAACTGAATATTAAAAAAAAAATGATGTTATTGGGTATATTTTACAAACTACAATGCCTTGATGACAAAAATACAATGCTGTAATAGAAAGAAAAAAAAAGATCCTGACCTCCAATATCTTTGCAAGTTTAGCAGTCTCAAATTTCTCGGGATGAGTTGCTACATATATCATTAATAATCGGATCTTTTGTTCATCTGTTGCATCCTGCATGAAGCAACAACATATATTATTACAATTATGGACATGACATGTGGAATGCATATAATAAATTATTAATTCCTACTGTTTGCTCACTTGTTCTTTGAGAAACTTAATGATATCTTTTGTTCCTGCATCTCCAAAGACAAGGTCTTGCTCTAATTGCCCCACGTCTCTAAGCCCCATCTCCCTGATAATACCATTAATCTTTCCAGCAAGTTGTTTCAGTCAAAATAATATCAGACATAGTTGACCATTATATCAACATAACCCTGGATTTATTTATTTAAAAAAAACAAACAGATACCCTAGAGACTTACATCAACATGGAGGGATAGTTTGTCCATTTGTTCATTATATTGTGGCAATGCTTGAACCATCTTTTGCAAGTCACGAGTAGACATCTCCCCACCGTCTCTACAAAAATAATTATGAATGTTTGTTGAATTACAAGGGTAAAATGGTCATTTAGTCTCATTCAGACACTTTATTCATTCTAGAAAGAAAAAAACAGACCTTATGTATACAACAACAATTTACATGGTCATTTAGTCTCATAATATTCATGTTAAATTTCATGAATATTACAAATGTTTGTAAAATTGTAAGGGTAAATTGGTCATTTGGTCTCATTCATACTAGAGAAAACAAACAAACAGACCTGCCATGCATCTGAGCAGCTTATTTCTGGACACAAAATTTGTCATCTTGTCATGCAAGCGTTCACTAGCCTAACAACGAACCATTGATCAAAAGTTATATAATTATATATTTTATTAAAAACCAAAACCAAATAAATAAAAAAATCTAAAAAATACATACATCTGCTATATGGGAATGTCGGAGCTCCAGCCATACTGGATCATGATCCTCTAAAAGGACCTCTTTCCTTTCATAACCATCACATGTTTTGCTTGGAACCTAAGCAGTATAATTACTTGACGTATAATATAAAAAATTTCACTAACAAGATTTTATAATAATAAATAATGTACACTACACTAACCACGTGAACATATTTATTTTACTCCATTTCAAGTAAATCATGGCACATTGCATCATATGTCCATTCATGAATAACAGGAGCAATCTACAAGTAAAAAAAAACAGAGTTAGTTCCTAATTCTACTAAAAAATTAAATTAAAGATGACAGGTTGCATCCTATTATTATAATTTGATAAAGGCCTGGAAATGGAAAATGAGACATGAGAAGATGATCCTTGTCGTGAAGATGACTCTGAAACCACATTCTTCCTCACTCCCTGAAGCTCACTGGGTCCCACCTTCCTTTGCTCAGAACCAGTTGTCATGTTTAACCATTCATAAATACAATTAATTTACATTAAATAAAAAATAATTTCAAATACAAAATAATATGATAACAAAATGGTGATTAAATAAATTAAAAAAAAAGTTCTCACAAGAAGTCGATTTGATCACAAGAGGGGTCTCTTGAATTTGTTCAACTGCATCTACTTTACTCCCAACCTCACGTCTAATAGTACCCACAGACAGCCGTTAATCTTGTGATGGCATCAAAATAGGATCTTTTTTGGACAAATATACCCCTAGTGAAGATTAGCAATCTGAACAAACATTATTGCATTCTCTTTAGGTATATTCATATTGCAATACAAGTACACACAAGTGATTCTTACATGATTATATAGGCACAAATAGAAAACCCTACAAGCTTCCACGTTTTTAAGCATACTGAAACCATAATTACACAACTGCGTACCTTGAGAAACCGACCCCTCCTGTTTTCCCTAATGTCAAAGTAAAACACTTAAAGAAAGAACCCTAATCAGAAAGGTAATTGGACAGATATGAAGGTTATTTGAAAGGAAAATCTATGATAATTATTGAAGAAACTAGGAAAGTCAATCCACATTTTGCAGAGTAATATATATGAAAGTGTATGTATAGAATGTGTAATGTGTAATATAATAAATTGCCTTGCTATCAAGCTGAAGTTCCTTGCTTGAAATATCTTGGTCATCAAAAGTGACGTAGTAGTTGAAGATATCAAAGAACCAAGAGATTCCATTGAAAGGTACGATTATGGTGGACCTTGTTGTCCGCATCTTCTCTGAACTCTTCATGTAACGACCGCGTGGATTCTCCTTGAGATCAAAGTAAAACAGCTTATGCTCCACCTGTAACGTCTTAGACAACAGCTCCACGTCATTCCCACCACTTCGTGCACCTCCCCCACCGCCCGAGTTAAACTCCATCTCCCCTTACGTCTTCTCCTGCACCTCCACCTGTAACGTCTTAGACAACAACTCCTCGTTGCCCATTATGTGTTTTGAACCAAGCGAGAGGGATGAGATGGAAATACAAGAGTGAGATAGAAAAAATTAGGTTCAGATTTAGGAACCCTAAATCATCGGCTCAAATTGATAACTGGGAGGTAAGAACCCTAAATCCTCAGCTCATTAGGATCGAATTAAGAGTGTAAGAACTTGTTGGAACCGAGAATTTGGTTTTTGGTGGAGGTGACGGATCGAGGAATTGAGGAAGCTGTGGATGAAGATGAAGGCCCTAATTCGAAGAGGCGTGGAATTTTTGGGATGAATAGGCGGGGGGTTAATTTTTTGGATTTTATTTTCCCCCCTAAAACTCGTGTTTCCTTAAAAAAAAAAAATATAAAGCGACACAGTTATACGACACACATTTTTTTTGTAGGTGCTCTTCGTATTTTTTTTTTCTGACACTAATTTTATGGTACACAAAAATGTGTGTTATCTATCCTTCAAATTTTGGAAAACTAACATTAATTTCTAGGGCACGCACAAATGCACGTTCTCTATTATTGTGCGTCATTAATTGCACGTTGTAAAAGGCTATTTTTCTAGTAGTGTAGAAGATGAGAAAATGAAGTCATTGAATTCAGATTGAAGGACGCCATTTTTGTACGGAAGAAATACTTGAGATTTTTAGAAGAAACTATGAGAATTTAACAACAAATTGTATGATTCATATCACAATCACTCTTAGAACACTCGATTCAATGAATTTAGTGCAGAATCTAATTACAATCATAGATCTAAAGAATTTTTCACTACCAAAAAGTGCGGAAACTTTTGAATCAAAAAGTTGATTCAAAAACCTTTTGAACAGAGTGAAAATCATATCAGAGATGTGATTCCTGCTCTGATACCAATTGATGAAACATAGAATCGAGTATTGAATGAATTATAGAGTTAATTCAAAGTATGTATGCGAGATTTGAACACCGATGTAAATATGATATGTTTGGCTCTATTATGCTTTTTCAAAGTTTACAGAGTACAATAAATATTCTGTAAAGACTTCGTTACATAGACACTAATAACTTCTCCTATTTATAGGAGAGGAAAGCGTACAAAAAATATACTGAGGACTAAAACATCATGCTTCGAATATTATGGCTTAGTAAAATAAAAATACAAAAATGTTCGTAGACCCTAAATACAAACTTCGACAATTACAACACTTTGACCCTAATAGAGAGATTTTATGTTACTTGGTTTTAATCCTTAATTATTTACCCATAAATTTAAAATAAGGCTAGGGTCCATATTTTCAATTCGAACTTTGAAGATGGATGTCATAATCAAATTGCGAATCTATTTTAGGTAGGTAAAGCATTCACCAATTTCAATCATATGAAACTCCTACATCTTTTGAGATTCACTGAATATTTTTAATGGTTTAATCTCGATTATGCTTTTAATAGTTGTGACTAGAATGCCGAGGATCATAATTAAGATGTGAATAACCATGCAAACCCGCTTGACAACTTTGATGTCTTTTATCATATCAAAATAATGTGTTGGTAAACCACACACGCCCATTAACAATAATAATTTATGATTTGTACCATCATTCAAAAATTAGTGTGTTGGTTATCCATACATGCTCTACTAACGACTTTTAAAGAACGATGTGCATTTTAATGGATTAACATACATTTCATATTTTTCCTATAGTAACTAGAGTGGAATTTTAAAGTAGGTTCTAGTACTTTTATAACATTATACTTTTAATGTGATTTTATCCTATTAAACCCATTAACATTATACTTTTAATGTGATTTTATACAGGAGAGTGGTGGGTGAAAAGGACAGCCATTGAACGGTTATTTTATCGGTTGTATCCTTATACCCACTTTATAGCATGACTTTATGAATGAGGATTAGTAGCGATTCGACTGACTTATCTTATATATGGTAGTTAATATATATATATATATATATATATATATATATATATATATATATATATATATATATATATATATATATATATATATATATAAAAGGGTGCATTTTAAAAGATTTCAAAAAAATGTTTAAAATTAGTTATCTACATTAATTGATTATTTAATAACATTTAACCATTTAAAATTAATTATTTAAATCAATTATTTAATTAATTATTTAAACCTTTTATGGATTTGATATTTATCTTTTAATTAATAATTTAATTAAATTAAGTATTAGATACAAATGGATAGTATTAATTAAATTCATAATTTATAATTATCTTGTGTATAGATATCTCATAATATTTACGGATTTTCTTTAATAATCCAAAGCATGAAAAATCGGATTCTAATAGAATTCTAAGCATATAATTACCAAATAACAATCACATAAATCAAATTAGGAAAGAAATCTCGAAATTCTAGATCTGTACTTAGTTCACGTTGTGACAGATACACTATAATGTCGTGAACACATATCTGACGAAAATTTGTGTTTAATTCGCTAATGTGAGATTAATAGAAGACACACCAAGTAGCTTTGATACAACTGAAGGTTTTCTTAGATTACAATTACAACTCTCAACGCGGAAAACACTTAACGATTAAGATGGGACACATGCAAACTAATAGGATCTATGTTTTCACTTTAAGGCAACCTACATTAAATTAACAAAACTAATACGCATCCTAGTAATTTCAAAATTCACAAAGTAGAGTTAGTTACCTTAAACTTGTTGTAGCAAACAAGTTGATTGAATCCATCCTTGTAGACTTGAGAAACTAGCACCAAAAGGATAGTGTCTCTAATGGCTTCTACCCAAAGCCTAGCAACAAGAACAAAAGAGGAGAGAGGGGAGGATATTCGACTATTTTTCTAGTAAAGAGCATGGATGGTGGCACCCAAGGGGTCCCATTTATACCTAATAGGATAACTGTGGAAACCATAATCCTAAATAAAATAATACTATTTCAAATCCGGGTGGATATTCGTTTTTTTTTTATCATAGAAGGAATATTCTAGATGCGTTTATGGTATCTCCAAAACTGTCCACCCTAGTGGAAGGTTATGGAATTCCTTTTTGTTCAATTATTCAACAATTATAGTTCAGTCCTTCCACCTTTAGTTAATTCTAATTAACCTAGAATTAAATCCAAATTAATTCTAATTAATTCTTAATTAATTGTTACCATTTCAAATTAATATATTAAACCTATAATTAATTAACAAATTATTTATTTCAATTTAATAATCACATAATAATCTATAAATCAATCTCTCTCTCCAAATGTTATTTTATTCAGTTATTGGTTTTGAGGGCAACCCAAAAAGGATTTTGCTTCCAATTACAAGTCATACCAATTTAGTTATGGGCTTAGACACCTTAATCCAACAATTAGTTGGTTTTCAAAGAAGATTGTGAATATCACCAATAACCCAACTCCACAGTGAGGAGCTCTCCAACTTAAATATCTAAATCCAATAAATAAGATAGATAAGTTAAGGGATTTAAAGGGCACGGCCCCAAGCCACCGACTCTCTTTAGAAGCGAGGGCGATATTCCAAGCAACCCAATTCATCTTGTTTTTTCCTCACTACTACCTGATAGGAACCTTCTCCAAGATTTCTCAAGAGAGTCAATAATAGAGTTTGGGGCTTTAAATAGAGAAAAATAAAATAGTGGAAGGTTACCAACCACCGATTTAACTAACGGCAATCTCCCCCGAACGAAAGAGTTTTTGATTTCCAAGATGACAATTTACTTTGAATCTTCTCCAGACCAGGCTTCCAGTGTCTCATAGGAAACATATTGGCCTCAACCGGTACCCCTAACTGCTTATGTATAAAAATGGAAGGGAAGTTTCTTTACAACCTAAGATACATGCACAACTAGTAACTTCGATCTCAGAAACACAAATTCCATAAACCTTAGACATATGGAAGCTAACTTTAAGAACCGGATCAACATGAAAACATAAAAGAATATATGACATATTAATCAAACTTAAAGTGCACCAATCACCCATGAATAATGCATCATTAGTGTAAACGTGATG